AAATTTAAATCTCAGTCCCATTTTAACATAAGAAAGTTTATTTGGGGGTAATAAGGGACCACAGAAAGCATCCGTGCTTGCGTGGTCTCCATAAATAACATCATCTACTGCCAATATGAGGGACAGAATTTGGGGTTAAATGGGTCAGAATCCTGACCCAGAACAGTGCTGTGTTTTTCTGGCAGGAAAGCGACAGTTTACCAGGAATATGACCTGGATGTGGTATCTTCCTGCCCTTCGCTGTAGTGAGATTCTCCGTTTATCAAATATGACAAAAGTTGTTTTCTTCTGAACCTTCTCATCCTGGGACATTCAGATGTCAATACCATGAACAGAGCTGGCAGAAGGTTGTAGGCTGAAGTGTTTTCAGCAGAGGGTTTTCTGTGTAGGCCAAAAAAGTGACCGTTTTTCCCAGTATCCAGGTGAGATTAGGATATTGGTAATAGCAAATAGTCTGGGACACCTGAAGATGTGGGGCTTGGAATGCTGGCAAATGGGCCCATGTTGGTTTAGGAGTACTGGGGCTCGAGATAAGCCAAAAAAAAGTCAAAGACCTTGTGTCTGCTGAACAGTCACAGAAGACATTAGAAGTGATAAATACTTTGAAATTATCAGTGCTGAAATAGCAATGCACGGAATACTTTTCTTCTTTGCAGCTGATGTTATGCTTAATATGCCCAACAGAGTGAAAAATGTGTTTAAAAATAATTTTAGAATAAAATTGGACACTGAAGATGGTATTGCTCTTAACAATTTGAGTTCAATTTTTCAGAAATGTATCACAACAAAAAATAAAATGACAGACAGAGATTGAAACACTGTGGTTGTTCAATTCAAAGGTACCGCTGACAGAGTGGATTTCATTTAGCTCGACCAGACAGTTTTAAGGCTGATAAAATGAATTTGAAACCAAATGAAAAGAAACTGTCACCAAATTGAACTTTGATTACTTTCTGGAGATCTTTCAATACCTAAAAACAAGACACTAATTTAATCTTCTCAAGTATATCTTCACCAAAAAAAAAAGTTTTTTGGATTTTGTTTTGAAGAACACAAATGCATGGAGGGGTTTATTACTAAAAACCATGTCGCTTTAGGAGTTACCTTATAAAATTACTAGAATCAAAGATGGGCGAGGAGCGGCATTTTCAGAAAATTGAAGCTGAGCTTATCACTTGCGTTTCCTTCAACTAAACCAGATGAAACTGAAACAGAGGCACTTTGCTTACAGACCCGTGCGTGCTTGCAGAAAGCCTTGCAGCGGAGCTGTGCGTGCCGTGCGTGCCGTCGGCAGCACGCGTATGCATTGCGGAGGCTGAATTCCCCTGTCTGTGCCACCTGTGCTTTAACGCCCCGTGCATCTGAACTCATCCGAGTTGGCTGTTCAGAGGGGCTTGGCAACAGAGACACGCAGAATTTGGCCACGGGGCTGTAAAATGGCGTTAAGGGAATGCTTACCTCTCACCGCCGTTTAATGTAGAAGCAAACGGACTGAGGTTTATTACATCAGTTTTGCTTTGGCTTAGTTAAACGTAAATGTAATTCATGCACTGATAAGTAAGTTCTCTCAAATCACCTGTTGAGACTGGTAAATACCAGACTTTAATTATTAAGTATGTTGTAAATAACTCTTTCTCTTACCAAATCCATGTAGTGTCCGTCTTTATCCGTGCCCTTTGAAACACGCACTATGTTTCTGTGTAGGTGACTGTGTACTATACAATCAGGCCTTTTTTTTTTATTATTATTATTTTTCATCCATATTGTTCATTGAGCTGCAAATCCGCAAGCAGAACTGTCCACCACACATCTGCTGCGTGGCCTGAGCCGGATGGTTGAAGCAGGTCGGACCTTTTTTTTAGCTGCTTCTACTGGTGAAGCCGGTGCATTCTGCAGGGTTGAGGATGGCTTGGCCAACACCTCTGCCTCCTCCTTCCCGCGTTGGTGTGGCCACGTGGAGGAAACCGCAGTCTCTGTGCTTGCTTCCGACAAGAGGCAGGAGCTCTGGAAGATGGAGGTTCTTGTCTCTCTTGCCCTTTTTTAGTGCTGAGTAGAATCTGTTCTGGGACAAGATTGACTAGAATGCAAACAAGATAAGGAAAAATTACCTTTTTGTCCTTTCGTTTTATCTGTTGGAGAGAAGGTCATATGGGTAATGGGCGGTAGTGTTAAACGTAAAGCTCTTTGTAAAGCGTATAAATGATGTATTGGCATTTTGACAAATCAACAGACTTCTGAGTGCTCTAATAATATTCCTATGACACTTATGAATCAAGTTACTAGTATTCTGAAATGAAATATTCTTTCTCATTTAAAATAAAAAGCTGTATTTCCCTTCATATACAAGAGGGTAAAGTAAGTTCCATTGCTGTTTTCTGTTGTCTCATTTTCCATGTTTGCTTTCTTTTTTTCATAATTTTTCCCCCTTTTGTTTCATATATACCTAAAAAAAATAGAATCATAGAATCGTTTAGGTTAGAAAAGACCTTTAAGATCATCAAGTCCAACCATTAACCTAACCCTGCCATCCCACCACTAAACCCTGTCCCTAAGCAAATACTTGAAGTCCATCTCCGTAGTATGGACCGTTGTTTAATTTTAGACTCCTTATCTGGAGTTTAAACTGGTCCAGTGATTTGGACTGTAACAACGTAATTTAAGTTGAGTTTCCTGTTCCATTGCAGGTTTCCTGTATTTCCTTAAGCAAGGCAGTTTTGTGCAGGGTGCAATTCTCCCTCTGTAAAAGACGAATAACTGTACTTTTCCTACGGAATGTGCAAAGCTGGGCTCAGCAGGCTGGTAGTGCGCTCTGGTGCGACAGCTTCGGGGCCGCAGATGTGTGGTGGGTAGGTGCCCCAGGCTTTAAAAAGATGAGAGGAACTTCCAAAAATAAGTAAATGAGCTACGAGTTTAGGCCACCTGTGCCTGGGGTTGGGCGTCTTGGAGAAACACAAATGGGGTGAGGGAGACTCTTCGATGAAGAGTGCGGTTTTTTCTTTTCATTCCAAAATCTCTGACAAACTGTCTTGTGCACAGTTTTTGTGACCTGATACATGAAGTTACATGTACAAAATCTATTTCTGAGCAAGAATTTAATGCTAAGGTACGTGTCGTGGGTTTTTGAGGAAGAATGAAGTGGAAATGTTAAATTTAAATTTACTGAAAAAGCATATGGAGAAAAATAAAACTCATTTGGTAAAATCAAATGCTAAGCATTTCCTCAGAAAATCTTTTTTAAATTACACATTTAACTTGAGAAATACTTTACCAAATAATACCACCTCTGCTTCACGATAGTCAGAATGAGCAACTTACATACTTCGTATAAGCCAAATGTTATTTGAAAGAGCTGATATACAGTATATTAAATAACAAAGATGCTGACACAGCCTTAACTGTAGTAGGTCTTCTAATTACTGCGCTGTGCCGTGTTATATTATATCACATGGCATAATTTAGTGTATCTTTCTTTGTCAATGTATTACTCATCATTTTACAAATTACAAATCTTTTATAGGAAGGTAATTCATACTTGGACATAGTGCTAAAATGATGGAGTGATTTCCTTTTTTCTCAATCATTGATCTTTCAAACTTTTTCATTTAGCCGTATTAATCATGTTTATTAGCCAAGTGTTGTCATAAAGAATGGAATTTTTCTGTTAGTTTCATACTCAATTAAAATGGTTTTTTTGCTTGCTGCCTCTATCTGCTGCATCGCAGTAATCTATTTACCTATTCTAATTGAAATTCTTGTTCATAAATTCAGAACAAAGTCAATACTGCAGTTACACATTTTCATAACAATCTATAAGCTCATGGAAAATGTGGGGTGTACCTGAGAAGGGAGCGTACCTAAAGTACCTTTTTGCTCTAGAAATGTTCCGGCTCGCTTTTTTAAGGTGGTTTGGTTTATGGACCAGATGTATTTCAGAATTCACTGGCATGGTCTGTTTTAATGCTGTGTAAAGGAACCTGGTGGTATTCAGTTGTATAAGGGTAATACTGAAGAAAACTAGAATCTGTAGAACGGCTGCAGAATACCCTCTCTTCAGGGGATCCAGCAGATAGTCTAGACCGAGCACAGGAGTGCCTAGTTTGCTGTACTGTGGTTTTGTTGTAGAGAGTAATTACTGTGAATCATAGAATGTTTTGGGTGGGAAGGGACCCCCAGAGGTCACCCAGCCCAACCCCCCTGCAGGAGCAGGGACACCTTGAACCAGACCAGGTTGCTCACAGCCCCGTCCAACCTGGCCTGGAATGTTCCCAGGGATGGGGCCTCCACCACCTCTCTGGGCAACCCATGCATTTTTTATATATATTTATATGGACTCTTTACATTTTATTTCCTGAATATTGATGCTTTCCAAGCCCAACCTAACGTCTGGCTTGTTTAACTTAGCAAAGGGAAGTGTTTCACTTTGGGCATCCCCAGGATCAAACCCAGCAGTGGAGGGAAAGCTATTTAACCCTTAAGTCAAAGATAACACAGCAGCAGGATAAATTGCTGTAACCTGTTCAGGGGTGAATTTAAGCACGAATGCTAGTGAGCATTGGAGGGAGCGAATAGAGACTGACTCTGCCGTAAGATTAAGAGCGGTGAGAGACCTGACGAGCCCGAGGATGGACACGGATTAGTCCCTGGCAGGAATCAGGGTGCCCTGATTGCCTGTTATAGCAGGAGATTGAGATTCGGTGTCTCAGATGTTCCCTTTCTGCCTTATTTACTTAATTGTGACTGATGTTTACTTGGATGATTTTATCCTTAAACATTGAGCTCTTCCTGATTCCAGAAACTGGTGTTATGAAGGTAGGTGATGCTGAAAGTTTCTAATCATATTTTTTGCCTGATGCATAGTTATTAATTTATTAAAAAAACCCTCAGGTGTAGGTTTCAGGTGCTGTGTTTGTGCTAGGTGTTTAGCTCGTTGCTAACCAAGCAAAATGTCCTTTAATGAAAAGTATATGCTATTTATGGCTCGTTTGTACCCTGTTTTGCAGGTGGGAGTGAATCCTCCTGGGATAAAGACAAGCTTCAGTCTCCCATCACAACGGGATCCCAGCACAGCATTGGTCACCCCACACTGTCAGGGCAGTCGAGCCTTGGAAGCGCGCACCCGCTCAGCCCTCTCCAGCAGAATCACCTGCTCACCAACAGTACGTACTGCGCTCTTACGGGGGAAAATAAGTGCACGGAGCCCTGCTCGGAGGCTGGGCTTTCATCCCATTCCAGCCTCCTGGAGGTCGGGGAAATGGATGGGAGACAGAGGAGCAACAGGAGGGTCAGGCCTCCCGCTGCCTGCCGCGCTTGTGCGTCGTGTCCAAGCCACCCACTGGGATACAGCCGCCCTCTTTGAATAGCCACCCCCTGCTGGGGTAGGGACTGTCAGTCCTTAATTGACATTTCCATGGCCTGGACTGGAGGGAAAAATAACCATGAAGCTGCTTAAAATTTTAGCTATATGAGAAAATCCTCTTGCAGGTGAAAATGCTAAACACCAAATGAAAATATGAGAGGCAGGGATAAATCCAAAATGTCTAAGTAAAAGCGAGCAGAAGCAATCCCTCTGCCTTGTTTTGCCTTCTACCTGCCAGGTGTGGGCAAGGTCATCCATGGAGCCCAGCTATCCGAAGCAACATGAAAATGGTACAGATAAAGTTTGGATTTGGAACTTAAGGCTTCCTTCAAAGCATCTCTTTTCCTTCCCGTAGCAAGGGAGGAGGTGGGAAGCCAGCAGTTCCCCTTCTCCTTTGCACCCAAAGAAGGAAGGAAGAGAAGGGAAAATTATTACAAGAAAGATGTTCAGGATTAATATTTTAGAAATTAGTGAAGGAGTAAGGTTACTTGTAACAGATGATGGATGAAGAATGAAAATCTCACTATTTCTGAATTCCTGTTATTTGTTTAAGCTCTTCATCCTCAAAGTTTCGAAAGTTGAATTTTGGTATTAGTTTTAATGGATGAATGACATTTCTGTCTCCTTACGCAATGTTAGGAGCAGACAGTTCCTTGCTACCTGTGCAGGGACCCAGACTTGAACAAATCAGAGCTATTGAAATGGCTCCTACGATATGGTCTGCTTTGTTCATGGGCAGGTATGGACCTGAGCATTTTGGGTTAAGAGTCACCAGATCACAGGACTCAAATTCACTGTAGTTTATCCTTTCATTTTATATTCTTGCATAATTCATTACCTGTATGTATTTAACATACAGGGATATTGTGCTCTTTGCTGTTAAAGAAAACTTTAAAGGTATTTTCCGGAGGATTTTGTTGTAGGCAAATGTCTATAGGCTATTAAAGGGTTTATTGAATGTCAGACATTATGTCCAATGATTTGCAAGTGTAGGATATATTTTCTTCATAGTCCTCTGAAATGTTTGACGGATTGTGTCTTAAAACTGGTGATGTGCTGTTAAATTCTGTTTGTAGTTTGCATTTAGTTTGCATGTCAATTGGACTTTAAGTAGACATACAACTCAATGTGGCCAGATGGTGTCTGGGAGTTTTGGAACTCTATAGAGTATGAGGAAAGATTATTGGGCTGTTAAGGGAGATGTGCAGGGGAACAAAGCCTTATGGATGTAAGCACCGAAGGGGATTGTCAGCATGGCTTAGTGAAGGGAGATGTATGTGGGCTTTGCTTATTACCCATCATAATTAATATTGGCGCGGATCATCCTATAAAATATATAGTGCATTATAAGAGATCACAGTTGATTTTTATACGCTCAAACTAAACAGAAATAGTGTGGGGGCTCAGAATATGTACAATTCTGCCTTTCGTGGTGGGCACAGTGGTGTTTTTATATCGCTATAGTCAAATTGTATTGGAATAACGTAAGCTATATCAGTCAATGCTATTTTTTATTGTGGGTTCTGTCATACACCAAAATGGTGACCAGCCTTTTCATTTAAAATAGTTAAGATAGAGCCAAAAGTTTAAAAACTTTTAGAAATAATTAAAGTGAATAGCATATGGTTATGACTAGCTGTATGATTATGTTACTTACTACTTGTGCCTGAATTTTTTAATGAGAATTTCTAATCTAAATTTCATTTGGAAAAACTATAAGATGTCTTGTCTGGCAAAATGAGTCCCATTTTTTCTGAAAAAAAATAATTTCAGATGCCCAAAGGTAGCTGCCTTCAAGTGGTCTTTCTGAAGAATTCTTAAATGCAAAATAATCTGAAACCATTTTTTCAGTGAATTGGTGTCTTGGTTTTGCTTTCCATTGTAGCCATTGCTAAATACAACAAGCAATACACGTGCTGAAATAGAGATTAATGAAATCCAAGAATTCAATTCTTGCTAGCAGTAACATCACCTTTTTGCTCCAAATTAATTTCCTACCTTCTTAAATTGTGTTCTATCCATAGCAGAAGACAATTTAAAGTGTCTTTTTGGAAATTAAAACCTCTGGCAAAAATTTGAACCTCTCATTATGTGTTCCAGTTCACAGACCTTCTGTGTGGTAATTCAGAAGTGTCTGTGGTCCAACCCACAGCTTCCTATATTCAAGAAATAGTCCTAATACAAAATCTAGTCTCAGATGGCTCTGTGTGTGTATTAATAATAGTAAGAGGACTTGGTCGGAGTATATTGTCAGATAAAATTATTAGTAAATATTTGCCTGATGTATTGGAAAAACGTGCAAATACCTGCATGTTTTGTGGGGGTTTTTTTTATTACTCTTAATAAAGAGGTCACTGAACTTATGTGCTGTTGCATATTCATTTTGCTAATACTGTGTTACTTTACAGCTGTATGTTTCTTTCCCTGATACAAACCATACAGCCTTTACTGGAATACAAAGTCAATTATTCCCTATGTAACATCAAAACCATTAACACATCATAATCTTGAGTTTGACTAGGCGATGTTCCAGTAGAATATAGACTCTAAAAATGAAGGCACTGGGCTATAAAATGAGGGGCTGACACATACAACCTGCCTGTGCTCTCTTTTAGGGATAGACCTGCCGTTCATGATGATGCCCCACCCTCTGCTTCCCGTCAGCCTACCTCCCGCTTCGGTTGCAATGGCAATGAATCAGATGAACCACCTCAACACAATAGCCAACATGGCTGCAGCAGCCCAAATGCACAGCCCTCTTTCCAGGGCAGGGGCCTCTGTTATAAAGGTAAGACTCATCTATGAGACTTAATAAAAATAGCTTTTTGTGGCTAACAAAACCATTTACACTGACTTTCTGAAGGAAGAAAAGAGGAAACAGCCTCAAGTTGCACCATGGGAGGTTTAGATTGGACATTGGGAAAAACTTCTTCACCAAAGGCATTGTCAAGCACTGGAAGGGGCTGCCCAGGGCAGGGGTCGAGTCCCCATCCCTGGGGGTATTTAAAAGCCAGGCAGACGCGGTGCTTAGGGACAGGGTTTAGTGGTGGGATGGCTGGGTTATGTTAACAGTTAGACTTGATGATCTTCAAGGTCTTTTCCAATCTAAACGATTCTATGATTCTAAGATAACTGAGCGGAATGAGCTTGCACTGCCAGTAGCACACCTGGACTGCTGTACCTGATAGTGCTTCAGTATGAGGAAATACCCACGAGTACAGTCAAGAAGTTAAGATGCTCTGCTCTGTCTCCAAATCTGTAATGTAATTAAAACCAGATACTACAGTCACTAGAGGCTAGGGGAATAAGCAGTGCTGCATCTGTTGAAGCTCAAAAGCTGTTCTAAAATGTTGTTTAAAATCAAACTTAATGTTCTACTTAAAAGAAAATGCTGTAGAATATAACAGGAGCTCTGGTGCGGTGCAGTTCTAGAACAGGTTAACAGCAGAGAAAATCATCGCAAGTCCCGTAGTGAGGATGGTCCTGGTAGCCACGCCTCGGTTTCCTTCTGGCTGGATAAAACGTGTTTGTGCTTTTGAAAGGCTTCTGATGGTCTCTTCCAAGCAGGTTGTTGTGAGCTGAAGTGCTGCCACACATTAAAAAATATGTTGAGACAAGACATTTTCGAAGGAGAAGGGTATAGGAGCAGTACATATGTGTGAAGGATTGGTGCTATGGGATTCTCTAAAACACAGCGTGTCCTCTTTTCATTGAGCAAAAATGAAAGGCTTTATCAGTCTAACTTCTGTGTGTGTTTGCATGCACGCGCATGTTTCTTGTTGACAAAATAAAATTTTGTCAGCTTTGAAAGGTAGTTATTTTAGTCCTATTTTTCTTTGGTTTTAAATATATGAGTCTGTAGAGCTCTCTGTTCTGGAAAGTACATGTCTCTCTCTTTTGATATTTATGCTCATTTACACTCATGTATCCCCATCATTCTGGAATCCCAAAGTTCCGAGTTGCTTTATTTTAATAACTTTCACTGATTTGCTGAACTTAATCTCTCATAGCTTTATTGTAAAATATCTTAATTATAAAACATCGTTATTTTATAATTGAGAAAGGGACTGTTGCCAATATTATGGGCAAATTGTGAGCATAAATTAGTCAGGACCGGGTTGTACTTTCTGTTGTCGCAGCTTGCTGCTGCAGGAAATTTTGTTTCTACATCAAGCAGGGAAAGAAACTAGCAGTACACAACCGCGCGTTTATTCCTCATACCTGTATTTGCTGGTAAAAACATACTTTCAGGAAAGAAAGCAAATCTCTTTTGTCACATTACAGTAGCATAAAATATTACGCATCTCTGTTGCTGAGGTTCTGGAGGTCTTCATTTTTCTTCTGATCTTCCTGGCCCTGAGCATCTCCAAAATTGCCTCAGGTTGTTTTTCTTCTTTACCGAGAGTCCACTCCCAGATTAGGGCAAACGTCGTTGTTAATACTTTGGGTTTGTTTACTTTTTTTTTTTCTTGGATTCTGGGAGGCTGGTGAAATTTGGGGTGGAGGAGGGAGGCAGACAGCGTTCCCCACTTAGAGACTATTTAGGATTAAGATCTATAAAACTTCTCCTTATCATCGGGTATCTGCACAGGTGTTGGCTGGGCAGGGGAAACATGGTACCTCTGATGTCCAGCTGTCCATCAGTCAATGCAAGTCACTGACTTGTTAGAAATTAATTGAGGTTCCATTCGTTTCACGCAGTAACCTTTTCTTTAACTGTTCAGAGACCTCTTGAGAAAACCATGACTTAAACACGGCAGTGGATTATCTGTAGCAGCAAGTAGACTGCATAAGCTTTGATTATATTTTAAATCCTATCGGTATGTCAAAAGGAAGATCAAATATGTATTTGTAAACAACGCTAGTTCTTTGTCATCTAAACTACAGGTTTTGCAAGCAGGTGGGTTTAAGGATGCTCTTCAGCAGGCCCTTGCTGATGCTAGTTACTCATTTACAGCTATTTTTCCTCCAACACCTGCACTGGGGGATACACAATATCTCCACAGCAACAGTAGGTCTCGCCAGCGCTCTGGTGGGAATTATTTCCTCTACATGATGTAGAGGAAAATACAGCAGGAGCTAACGTGACAGAGGTAAAGCACGCATCCATCGCCGTGTTGCTCTCACTTGTCAAGTGATGCTGCATCTTTCTCTCGTTTGTTCCGAGTGCTGGAACTGTAGGTGAATTTTATTGCAGACAGCGTGAGGCTCCTTTTGTCCTTCCCTTCCCTTATGTACAATCATCTAGCTCTGAATGACGATCAATTAAAATGAGATCCTTGTACAAAACGAAACATGTAGAAGAAAAGCATTGCTGCTGTTGTTACCTGTCAGCAGTCTTACTTACGTGACATTATTGAAGCGCATTTAGTAAGTACAAAAAATGACTAGTTTTAGATAGACTGCAATTCTAGCATCATGGCATTACTTAAAATGGGAGAAATGAATCGAATATATTGAGTGTGTATCTATTTCCATACTCTGATGACTAAAATACCACTTGGCCTGTTTTCTATAGGTGTGAGAATCAGCTGCTTTATAAAGGTTTTGAATGAAGTCATTATGCTTTTTATATCACGTTTGCCATTTAGAAATAAGCTGTTCTACCAAGATATGCATGATCAGCAAAGTTAACATTTAGTGCTCCAGAAAGAAATGTCATAACTATGAAACTTGATTTCTTCCTGACAGGAACACTATAAATTAGGCAGACACAATGGCCAGGCTCGCAAAACCTTCTTAGCCATCTATAATGTGATCTGATGTGGTTATAGCAGCACCCGCTAGCAGTGGCTATAGCTACGGTTCTGACAGTGTCCCTGTAATAAATCCAGACTTTCAGGGATTTACTGTGCCGCTGAAAGAACTTGCTCTGTTTGAAACTTGGCTCAAATGGTTCTGGAGAATCTGTATAATTGAGGGTGTCATATGGCAAAACCAAAATTTGACAGCAACGCTGACTTCACCGCCCTCTCTCTTTTCCCTCTTGCGTCTGCTCTTCTGTTAGTTCTTTTTTTCCAGGGCTGCACTTCAGCTGGATGAACTCTGCCATCCAGTTACTGACCTAGGTGCAAAACGCTTTGCCAGCCTGGTCTGGAGGACCAGCCTGGGGTGGAACTTTGCTGAAGTATGCTTGAATCATGGTGTAGGCTGGAAACAGTAGTGAATAAGTGTAGTGGTTTACTGTCGTCCAATAATTTTGCTCCTGAAACTTGGAAAAATCTACCCAGTGATGATATTTTCAGGTCTTAAGAAGGAAAGTTTGGGTGGGTCCTTTATTCAAAAGAGAAAGGATTTTTTTTTACTGAATTTTGTAGAACAACTCAACTCCAGAGAGCAATAACTACATAATGTTAAGAGTTTTATTTTATAGTGGACCTATAATGAATATGGCTATTAATATGCATTCACAGCATCTTATACAGTTTATCTTAAAGGAGCTGTGAAGATGTATGCTGAGAACACAGATTGCATAGAAAGCTGGAAGCACGCCTAAATCTTAACAGATCATTTAAATTAAATTGGGTCCAAAGGACTTGAGACCTCACAGCACATCACGTGGATGGCGGAGAGACAAAGGTGTCCCAGCAGAAATGGCAGTAGCTCTTCTGCTTGTGGATGGTGCTTTTGAACCTCGGAATCAGACCATGCCCATATCATAGAATCATAGAATGTTTTGGGTTGGAAGGGACCCCCAGAGGTCACCCAGCCCAACCCCCCTGCAGGAGCAGGGACACCTTGAACCACATCAGGTTGCTCACAGCCCCGTCCAACCTGGCCTGGAATGTTCCCAGGGATGGGGCCTCCACCACCTCTCTGGGCAACCCTTGCCAGGGTTTGACCACCCTCATTGCAAAGAATTTATCACAACTCCCTGTCCATAGTGGAATGAGGCCTCAAGCTGCGGCTCCTCCAGCCGGGTACAATAAAGGCATCAGGAGTGGGAAGGTCGTGTCGCCAAGCCTAAAAGCCTCAGTGCATGCAGATTAAGCCAGAAGGAGCTTATAGACTAAAACCCATATGAGCTTACACAATTTCAGCCAAAAGTTGGGGAGGGGTTGCGGGGGGGGAAGATTTGAGGTTAGGAAAGTATAAGGAGGGCTGGCAAGAGCCACGTTTCTGTGCCAGTCCCTGTGTGCTCCCTGAACGGCCGCTTTCCCAGGGATCCTTTGAAACCAGTTGGTGGGAGACGCTGTGGTTGGGGTGGGCTTGAAATGGTGGGAACCGAATCCAGGGGCCTTCAGCTGCTCTCTTTTGTGTTACGTATCGAAAGATGACTGAGGCAAGATTTTATCCCAGAGGTTTGAGAGGCTCTTTGACCCTTTTCTCCCAGTCTTTCCTTGCTGCTTCGATTCACCCCACACATTTTGCACTTTCCTTGCTCCTCTTGCTCATGCCTCACTCTTCCTCCTCCATCTCTCCTCCTTCTCATTCTTCTCCCTCCCTTTCCTTTTGGCTCCCTAACAACCTCTCCTGAGCCGCCGAGCGATGCGCTTCTCCCAAGTAGGAGTATTTCGGCAAATTGCTTTCCTGCTGTCCATTTTTCTTCTGTTGTCATTCCCTCATGCTTGCTGTATCCCTACTTTTCTCTTACTCTTTTTTTCTCTTCCTGCTCTTATCCAAGTCCCAGTTAGGAATAAACGGCACGATTTTTGAATGCAGCTGGAAAACCCAGAGAAAATAAGTTAAAATGTAATAGAAATGCTTTGTTAAAAAAAAAAAAAGCAAAATAAAGCATTTTTATTTTATATATGAAATTCTATTTCTTTCAGAATTTCACCCCGATGT